GCTCTATTAGAAATTAAATTTCCAGTTAAATTTTTTCTGGGGACCAGGAAAGATAGCATAGACAGTAGAGGCTTTGTGCATCTCCTCTTGTGACCACACCAGAGTTGTGACGAAACCACAGAGCAAAAAAAAGCAAACAGAGTCACCTGGGCCCTGGATGAACAGAGGCACTACAACTAGGAGAGAAATAAGAAATCACCCTCCAATGGCAGGAGGAGGTGGAGATGTGAAGCTGTCGGGTCCCATGCAGCTGCGCAAGACAGAGGCGGCAACAGCAGCAACCAGCAGGTGCAGATGTTCTTCTTAGAGGGGTTGCAACCATGACTGAACTTTCACAGAGACAGATTGCTTGCTTTGAGCTCCAGCACGCCCAGTCAACAGCTTGAGGGGCACCAGGGACATATGAGGGAACACTGAGTTGTTGGGCTCAAGACAAGGACCAGAGGCAAGGCTTTCTTCAGGTCAGAAGTGCTGGCAGCATCTGCTGTTCCTCTTTTGAGCCCTCTCCACTCCCAGTGTGCAGATGCAAGTGCCGCTATAGCTGAGACATTATCAAACTGAATAACACAGGTCACTCCACCCCTCTCAACTTGTGGACTTACTGAAGCTATATCCAGTAGTGTCCTCAGCTTGCCCTATGTCCCTTGCTGAGCAGCTCCAAGCCCCGCACTAGTGGCACCTACCTTTGATTTCTGGCATAGCCTCTCGAAGCAACTCTCAGCACAGCACAGGTATCAGCCATCTGGGGATTGTTTGCTGGCCCCAGAGGGGCACAGGCTGGGGCTAAACTGGGCCCACAGCTGGAACCCTCTCAGGACTATGCCACTGGACACCAGGTACACAAAGCCATGCTAATAACCAGGAGACTTAGGAGCTTTGCTTAGTACATAGAAACAGACACAGAATGGTAGCCAAAATGGGGAGACAAAGAAGTACGTCCCATATGAAAGAACAAAATAGAGCTCCAAAAAATGGAGTCAAGCAGTCACCAGATGCAGAGTTCAAAACACTGGTTATAAGGATGCTCAATGAATTTAGGGGAAGAGTAGATTAACTCAGTAAGAACTTTAACAAAAAGATAAAAATGGAGATAGAAATTATAAAAGGGAACCAGTTAGAAATAAAGAATACAGTATCTGAAATAAAGAGTATTTTAGAGGGAATCAACAGAGTGGATGAAGTGGAGGTTTGAATCACCAGTATAGAGGATGGGGTAACGGAGGACACCAAATCAGAACAGCAGCAAGAAAAAAGAATTCAAAAAATGAAGGTAGGGAGGAGGGAGGTAGATGGGGTAAAAGGGGTCAAATATGTGATGACAGAAAGAAATCTAACTATGGGAGGTGAACACACAATACAATATATATGCCTTACTGTTAAATTGTATACCTGAAACTTACTGGAGTTCATTAACCAATGTCACCATAAAATAATTAATTAACTAATTAATTCTTAAAAATGAAGATAATTTAAGGAGCCTATGGGACAACCTCAAACGTAACAACATTTTCTTCATAGGGGTACCAGAAAGAGAAGAGAGAGAACAAGAAGTTGAAAACCTATTTGAAGAAATAATGACTGAAAACTTCCCTAACCTGGTGAAGGACATAGATAAACAATTCGTGCAGAGAGTGCCAAACAAGATGAACCCAAAGAGGCCCACACAAAGACACATCATAATTACAGTGCCAAAGCAGCAAGAGAAAAGCTCCCATAAGACTGTCAGCTGGGGGCGGCTCCATAGTGTAGTGGTTAGCACATCTGCTTTACACGCAGAAGATCCTGGGTTCGCACCCCAGGTGAAGCCACGGACCATATCCCGGGTGCACCAGGCCCCCCAGGTGCGCCAGGTGCGCCTGGCCTCAAGTGCTCCAGGCCCCAAGTGCACGCCACGAGCATGTGGGAGGAGATGCCCCACCTTCAGAGATCCAGTTCTTAAGGGGAAATGGCAACATCCATAGGTCAGGGGTAGAAGTGGAGGGGGGGCGGAATTAAAGAGGTATAAAAAAATAAAAAATAAATAAAATAAAAAGACTGTCAGCTGATGATTTCTCAAAAGAAACTTTACAGGACCGAAGGGTTTGGTATAAAATATTCAAAGTGATGAAAACTCAGGATCTACAAGATTACTTTACCCAGCAAAGCTATCATCTGGAGTTGAAGGACAGTTAAAGAGCTTCCCAGACAAGAGAAAGCTAAAGAAATTCATCACCACCAAGCCAATATCATAGGAAATGTTGGAGGGACTTCTTTAAGAAGAATAAAAATATGTATCGAAAATACGAATAAATAAAATGGCAATAGCTATATATCTATCAATAAGTACTTCAAATGAAAAAAGAATTAAATGGTCCAAACAAAAGACAGGGTGGCAGAATGGATAAGATTACAAGACCCTAACATATGCTACCCACAAGAGACTCACTTCTGATCAAAAGACACACGCAAACCAAAAGTAAGGGGATGAAAAAAGATGTTTCATAAAAATGGAAACAAACAAACGAAAAAGCTGAAGTAGCAATACTTGTACCAGACAAAATAGAGTTTAAAACAAAGGCTATATAACAAGAGACAAAGAAGGACCCAGTTATCCCACTTCTGGGTATTTATCTAAAGACATTCAAAACACTACTTTGAAGTGACATGTACATTTATATGTTTATTGCAGCATTATTAACAATAGCCAAGATATGGAGGCAACCTGGATGTTTATCAATGGATGAATGGATAAAGAAGGGGTGGTCTACATATATAATGGAATATTACTCAGCCATAAAACAAACAAACAAACAAATAAATAAATAAATAAATAAATAAATAAATGGAATCTTGCCATCTGCAATAACACAAATGGACCTAGAGGGTACTGTGCTGAGTGGAGTAAGTCAGACAGAAAAAGACTAATGCCATGTGATTTCACTCACACGTGGAATCTAAAGAACAAAAACAAATAAAACAGAAACAAACTTATAAATACAGAGAACATTTTGAGAGTTCCCAGTTGGAAGGGGGACTGGAGAGGGTGGGTGAATAAGGGGAAAAGATTAATAAGGACAAATTGGTAGTTGCAAAATAATCATGGGGACATATAGCATAAGGAATATAGTCAATAATATTATAATAACTATGTACGGTGTCAGATGGGTATTAGATTTATTGAGATCACTTAGTAAGTTATATAAATATCTAATCACTATGCTGTACACCTGAAACTAATGTAATATTGTATGTCAACTATAATTGAAAAATAAAAACTTATTTTACAAAAATTTTCTAAAAAAAAACTTCAGGTCCAGATGGTTTCACTGATAAATTTTACCAAACATTATTAGTAACAATTATACACAATCTCTTCCAAAAAATAGAAGAGGAAAGAATACTTCCAAACTCATTTTATGAGTCCAGGATTACTGTAATTCCAAAATCAAACAAAGATATTTCAAGAAAAGAAAACCAAAGCCCAATATCCCTCATAAACATGGAAGCGAAGCTTCTCTACAAAATATGAACAAACTGAATCCAGCACTATATAAAATGATAATACATCAAAATCAAATGCAAATCAAATGCAGAAATTCAAAACTGGGTCAATATTGAAAGACCATATGAATCATATTAGCATATGAAAGAGGAAAGACATATGAGAAGAGCTGCATGACCTTTGGGTTTAGCTATAACTTTAAACGTATGACAACAAAAGCATCATCCACTCAGCTATCAGAAGGAATGAAGTACTGATTCATGTTATGGTAGAAATAGACCTCAAAACCATCAAGCTGTGTGAAAGTAGCCAAAAAGATGCAAAAGACTAGAAACTGTATGATTCTATTTATATGAAATGTCTAGAAAAAGGCAAGTTTATAATGATAGAAAGTAGAGGAGTGGTTGCCTAGAGCTGCAGGAGGGAGCAGGGCCTTAACTACAAACGAGCACAAGGAAACTTTAGATTGTGGTGATGGTTCTAAGACTCTATATATTGAATTGTATACTTGCAATGGGTGAATTTAATAGTGTATAAATTATATTTCAATAAAGCTGTTTTAAAAAGTGACAAGAAAAAAATAAACGACCACAAAAGAGACTTACTACACGCATTAAAAACTAGGGAGAGCCATGGATCTACCCCTGGCAGAGTCTCTCCTTTTTACTAGCTCAGAAACTCCATAGAAGTTAATGTGAAAAGGATATAAGATTAATTCATTCCTTGATTACAACTTGTGGAGGAGGGTGTAAGGCTGAGGAGAGGGCACTGGAGGGAGCACTGCGGGAGGCTCCGGCCCAAAGAGAGCACCATATTTTGCAAGAATTGCTGAAGGCCTTCCTGCCTGAGCAAGAAGAGCAATGTGGGCTGAAACTAGAAACGAAGACTGTGTCAGGCACACAGGCCGTGGCACAAAAGAAACCCAGGAAAATGTGTTAAGCAGAAGACACCATAATCACATTTGGTCTGTCAGGGCTCAACCTAGTTATTTTTGGAGAGTGGCTGTAATCATGAAGGGACAAGTTGTCCATCTTTGTAACTATTACAGGGGGTCATCCACTGAGAGGAAACTAGGAGCTACTTATTCAATTTTTTTGTCAAATGAATTCATGTGCAACATAGTCTGGCTAAATTAGGCTGATTTGCTGACTAAAAAAGGCTGACCCCACCAAAGCCAGGTATGAATCCTCTGTCAGCAACATGCAGGGCCCATTTCTGAGCTCTGTCCTCACAGAGGAGAGAGAACATCATCTCCCTCTAATTTACCTCACATAATCCCCTCACCCTTCCTCTGATCATCTCCATGAGGTGCTTCACTAACAAAAGTGAAAGCAGCAGAATTTCTTCCTCGTTCCCCATGGTGCAAGGTGTAAACTCCCCAAATTTCTTTTGAAACCAGCTGAGGCCCCAGAGGGTCTTCTTGCCAAGCCTCCTCTCCTCATTGAACACCAGTTGCACAGGTTAGGGAGGTCATGGCAGGTGAAGGGGCTAAGACTCTTCATTACTAAGATGTCCTTACCTGTATATTATAAAGGGGCTCAAAAGCATCATTCTGAAATTTTTCTATATTGATGGCAGCCAACACTGTAGAGAGAAGAAAGAAGTGCTGCATGAGACATTGTGACAGGCGCCAACAGGGGAGGGATGGAGGTCCACACCTTTCACTCTGAAGAAAGGTGTGTTGAGTAGTAAGAATAATGAGATACTACTTGTATCCCAAGTTGCAATGTAAAAAAAGGTGCCATATCCTCGCATCATTGGACACTTGCAAGGACTTGAGGTAAGAAGGGCAGTTAAAATTAACTGTATTTTGTGCAGAGAAATGGAACAGGCCAATCTCACCACAACATGATTAGATCTAGGAATTGAATGCATGTCTCATGACCCCAAGTCCAGCACACTTTTCACTGTACCATAATAATGTGGAGAAGAGCCACCAAAAAGGTGGAGAGAACAGCAGTCTCCAGAAGCAGCTAATTTTGAGCTAAGGAATACCTGACAGATATTCCTCTGGCTCCATCTGGCTGCTCATACCTTGGTCATTTCTTTTACTCTCGTCACCTTATAATTTTGTTCTGAATTATTCTGCTCCTTTATTCTCTAGGACCTACTCAGAGTCCTTAGTGTGCCTTAGGCTGCAGGATCTCAGGACTGGGACTCTGCTGAGGCTGGCTTCCAGACACAGCACCTATCTTCTGCTTCTTCATGGAGTTGTCAATGTTGTTGGAGAATGCCTTCATTCTAACCCTTCCCAGCACCAATGCAGATTCTCAGCCACAGAAAAGTTATGAAAGATGGAAAGGTACATTGGGGGCAGAAGAGCTCGATTACAGCTCTGATCTTGAAAGACAACAGGAACAAGGAAAAGTGATGCAGTTGCCAAGTGAACTCTTCACTTTGACCTTGAGTCCTCATCTATTGTAATATCAAATCTCTAGGGTCCACTTCAATCTACATAGGAAAGAGATATTAGAGACATTCTTTGTTCTTTCTGATGTTTGTTCAAGATTCAAACTGGCAGATTAAGAGCCTCAGTTCCCCCTTAAAGTGAGTCTAAATTCGTACCTCCTTTTATGTAGCCTTTCAGCACTTCTGTCTTAGCATCTGAGGTCAAGAGCAGCTCCACAATTCCTCGTTTCAGCAGGGCCTATTGAGAAAACTGTAGAATGAACCTACTTCCCTTGCTCCCTTGGGAAGAAGAAAATTAAGAAATAAATACAACTGGTTCAGATGGGCAGCATGTAAGCTAAAAAAAAGGTTTGAATTGAGAGTCTGGCCATCCGCAACTCAGTAAATTGAGGAGGTTGTAGTCTCTATCCCAGTTTGGTGTTGTCTCCAGGATGACCACAAAGCAGCTGAATACAGGCTTCGACACCCCACAGTCATAGCCTCAAGGCTAAGTTTATGAGAAAACACCCTGAGGCAGCATCTAAATCTGAGAGAAAGGGAGAAGACTTGGGAAACTCTTTGTGCTTGAAGGAGAGTGGCCAATGCTATGGGTAAGATCGGAGAGAAACTTCACAAAACTTGGGTCCTACCTGGACACTCAGAGGAAGTAAAGAACTGCCATTGCATTGGGGAAGGGGAGGATCTAATTTGAAAATCATATTTGCTAAGAGAATAGGAAGTAGACAGATGGCCAGAGGGTGAGAGGACCCTATCTTTGTGTCTCATATGTTCATTTAGCCATATCTGGGCCTGGGAGTGGAGTTGAATGGTAAATTTTTAAAATCAAGGAACAATAAAGGCTAGCTGATGAGACTGATTTGAGCATGTCTGATGTGATGCCCCTGAGAACATTAGGGGAAAAATTTCTCACAGAACTTGTCCAACTCCAGAAGCCACAGCTATAAGGCAGGAGCCAGGACATCCATGGAGCCCAGCCCAGCCTCCTCTCTCTCGCAACACCTGCCCAGCTGGCAACTCCTCCCCACTCCTCCCCAAGCCATCCCACCCAGAAGTCTCTATGTGGACAGAGCTAACATGGGTCCCTGCCTCCTGCTTTAGCGCCTGGGGAGGGATCCAGTTTAGACTAGAACACATCAGCATCCTGAATGTAGAAAGTCAGGGGCAAGGAGAAGCCTGACACAAATAAGGACACTAGGCAAGACTGAGGTATTCCCTGGCCGGAGGCATTCCCCACATGAAGCGATATTTGTTTACTATAGATATAAATTCACCAGCCCCCAGCTTTCGTGAGAATTGTGGGCCATAGAGATAGCAACGGAAATGAATAATCTTTCAACATCCTATTTTATCTAAACATCAAGTCATTTAAGTACATCTCGATCACCCTGACCATATCGTAGATTCACAGAGAAATTAAACTCGGTTTCATATATTCACATAACCCACAATGCCTAACAGAGTCATGCAGCAGACTCAGAAATGCATGCTGTAAACGAGACAGATTGAGGAAAGAAGCATGTAAATATGGAGACAAACCAAGTGCCTCTTACCTGTTGAATATAAGGCATGTAATATTTATCCTTATCGAATGAACCATATTCGTTCTCCACTTGCACTGCGATGATGGGGCCTCCCTGGCGGTACTGAGACAGGCAGAGGAACGGGGAGAGTGAGGCTGCTGATGAGAAAGCCAGAGTCTCTGGGTCTGCTGTTAAAAATAACACACCTGGCGCAGGACTCTGATTCAAACTGTTTCCTTACCTGAAGGCACTCTCTCTCTTCCCCCAGGCCCTATAGTCAGAGTCACCTCCAGGTACTTCAGATGCTGCAAGGAGTCCTACCTTCCCGAGTCTTTGTAGCAATGCCCACAATTTTCCCTCAATTTCTCGTACTAATTATCTGCTTAAATATGAGAGCTTAAACCAACAAACTCACCTGCTTCCACGCCTACTCTACCTATCCACTTTCCCACCTGACAAAGAAAGAGGCATCCCTTCTCCCTCCTCCTGTCTTAGGGTAATCCCACCAATCATGTGGAGAGTCTCACAGCCTCCACCACCTGCTCAGGAGGTGGTTCTCTGCACTGTTCCCTCTCTCTTCTGTATTTTTTTTAAATTAGATTTGACATTCAACATTATTTTTTATTAGTTTCAGGTGTACAGCATAGTGGTTAGACACTTATATAACTTATGAAGTGCTCCCCCCCCCCAATTAGTCTAGTACACACCTGGTCATTTTATAACTATTTTGTAACTGTCAATTTGTACTTCTTAATCCCTTCACCTTTTACACCCAGTCCCCCAACCCCTTTCAGTCTGGCAATCACTAATTCGTTCTCTGTATATATGTCTGTTTTCATTTTCTTCATTTATTTTGTTCTTTAGATTCCACACATAAGTGCAATCATATATTTCTCTTTCTCTATTTCACTTAGCATAATACTTTCTAGGTCCATCCACGTCATTTCAAATGGTAAGTTTTCATTTTTTTATGTATGAGTAATATTCCATTGAATACATGTGCCACCTCTTCTTTATCCAGCCTTCTATCAATGGACACTTATCTTGGCTATTGTAAATAGTGCTGCATAGAGGTGCATATATCTTTTCGAATTAGTGTTTTGGTTTTCTTCAGGTAAATACCCAGAAGTGGAATTGCTGGGTCATAAGGTAGTTCTATTTTCAATTTTTTGAGGAACCTCCAAACTGTTCTCCATAGTAGCTGTACCAATTTGGAACTCCACCAACAGTGCACGAGGGTTCCCTTTTCTCTATATCCTCACCAACATTTATTGTTTTTTGATTTACTGATGAAAGCCATTCTGACAGGTGTGAGGTGATATCTCATTGTGGTTTTAATTTGCATTTCTCTGATAATAAGTGACGTTGAGCATCTTTTCATATGTCTATTGCCATTTGTATTTCCTCTTTGAAGAAATGCCTATTCAGGTCCCTTGCCCATTTTTAAATTAGATTATTTATTTTTTGGTGTTGAGAGATACGACTTCTTTATAAATTTTGGATATTAATCCCTTATCGGATGTCTCATATCCAAATATCTTCTCCCATTCAATACATGTCTTTCCCTCCTGTACTTTCAACATTTCCTTCCAAACTGACTGACTTCCACCATCCTGGAAGCTTATTCAGAATGTCACATCAGAAAGAGAGAGTGAGCTGCAGGACTGTTCCCTCCACCTACCATTCTCTTGCTCTCTGCTCTTATTTTTTATAGCTTTGTGGCAAATTTTTTTTTCAATTATGGTTATCATTCACTATTATGTTGGTTTTAGGGGTGCCCTCTCCTCTTTAAGAGCCCTATTCCTTGAAAGAGTTACCAATTGTCTACACTCTCTCTCACTTTTATCCCACTCCTCAAAGCACTGTGGTAAAGCTTTCACCCTGTCACACCACCTAAGCCATCAACATTGACCTAGTTGTGCTGAAATTATAACTTTTCCATGTTGAATTTAATTTTTCAACATCCTTCTACACTCAAGTCATCTCTCTGCTTCTCGGAGCCTCTCCACACTGAAGGCAGAGCAAACCGTCAACAGTGAACAACTGATCACTTCACTCCTCCCATGGTTCTTACTGCTTCCGAATAAATGTCAAATTTAGAGTGCAGTGTTCCCTTTGGGACATGAGCTCCTGAGATGGAACAGAAGAGAATAAGCACATTTGGTGGGTTTTCATTTACAGCCTCACCTTTCGTCTCTTTCCTACCTCATACTCTATGCTCCAGACAAGCTGGACTTCTTTTAGCTCTTCAAACTCTTCATTCTATCTCTTGCCATCTGGGCTTCACCCATGTGGAGACTCCTGACCATTCATGCTGGCCTGTCTAATGCCTGCCCACATTTCAGGACACTGTTTAAGCTACATTTTTTGAAAAAACGTGCTCTGAACCTCCCTTTCTCCTACACTTTCTCCACTGCAGCAGTTATCACTCATGTCGTAAGTGCTTGTTTGTCTCTAATGTTCGGCTATAAGCTCTCTTGGGCAAGGACCATGTCTGTGCTTCTCACCACTGGAGCTTCTTAGCTACTGCACAGTGTTTGGCATATAGTGGGTACTCAATAATTACTTGTTAAATAAATGTAAGTATTCTGAACTGATGAACTAATTTTTGTATTATTGCAGAATATCTTCTCTCCAGCCTGAGAGTGAAATTTCTAAAAACCCCATGGTAGGAGAATTCACAGTTATCCTTATGGAATAAACAAGATTAGAAGAATAAATGTCCCCAGTTAAACAGTAAATACACTCTAAAAATTATTTAAATATAACAATTAAAACAATAAAGATAACCAATCAAAATGAAAGACTTTAAAATACTAATAATTTAGTAATAATGAGCCCTATACATTTCATTTGCACTTACAATTCCTTGCTTCTTAAAACTTTTCTAGAATTTCCTACCTTACAATTTCAATGAATGTTTATAAATTTGCTTTGCATGCTGAATCTATTTGAATGTTAAGTAGCAGTTGTACTTGTGCCTGAACTTCCATCCAAACATTCAGACTCCTTTTAGTTTTAAGGTTCAGAGATTCTTCACTCCTCACTGAGTCCCACCATGATTGCAGAAAGGAAGACAGAAACACACAGCTTCAGCCCTTCTTACAAAGGATGTACCTCAACTCCACAGAACAGACCCAGAGTTTAATCCTAAAGACAAGGTCATCTTTCACTCTGCATTGCTCACTCTCCTAAAGCTGTATTGCTTTGTTTCCATTTATAACCTCCTATTTCTTCTTTTTATAATTATCCTAATAAGATTAACTCAAATTCACAATTCAGAATTATTTATAAAGGGCTGGATCTGCATCATATCTTCCTCAAAAAAGAAAAGTCTAAGATAATAAGCTATTGGTCTACTACCTAATAATCCTGGTTTTTATCCCTCCTCAAGCTGTATCAAGATATATGTCCTTAAAATAACATTTATTTTTAAATAATAACCATGTGCCTCCTCTTGTTTGGAAGAGAGTTATATTTTTAAAATCAAACACAATGATTAAATAATTGCTGTCTTACAAACTGCAAGGTATAATGTTCTTTTTTTTTGTCACAGACTGGTCTATGTGCTATAGGTTGACATTGTGAAAGTAAAGGCATTTTTTGTCAAGTGCGTACGGTCTGGGAACACCATAAAGAAACAAAAATACATGGTATCTTTGCTCTTTGCATTTATGAAATTAAAATGAACTAGAATATAATAGCAAATATACTCTTATAGGTACAAAATGATACACATGAATCAAGGTATTCATTATAACATAAACATGAAAAATCAAATGCCCATGACAAGGGTACTAGTTAAATAAATTTTTATATATCCACATCATGAAATACTTTGCAGTCATTAAAAAGAATAGCAGGTTTTAAATATATATATACATTTTTTTAAGCGACAAAAGAAAAATACTCAATGCAAATTGTATATTTTAGATTAAAAGTATACATACACACATACACTTGTGTAAGTGTGTGTATAAAAAATTTGCTTCCAGGTGTGTAGAAAATCTCTGGAAAGACATACACAAGTCTGCTAAAACTGGTTGACTCCTGAAAAGGTAACTGGCTTTAGGACAGGGTAAGAGGGGAGACTTTTATTCCACCATAAACTCTTTTGAACTTTTTTGAGATTTTTCACCAAGTATGTGTATTAACCTCAAAGCAGCAAAGATCATTTAAGAGTAGAAATAAGCAGTAAAAAGATCACTGTGTCTAGTGAACATCATGTACATTCAGAACATGGACACACACCCACACTTTCCACCCAAGCTTTCTGTCAGTCCTGTTTCATGTGATGCATATCTTTCCAGAAGCCCTGGAGCAAAGGCTGTACTTAAGATGAGGGTCTAGAATTCATAATTGCAAGAATGTCAGTTTCAACTCTCATAGAGATGGGTCCTGGCTTATTCTGTGAATGAGCCAGAACAAGCTATTTTCCTAAAGCAAATATAAGAAAAAAGTAAAAGGTACTTTGGCTTTACCTGGAGAGGAACCACTCTAGCAATCAGATGATCAAAATATTTATCAACTGCTTCAACAAAGCCCTGGTCGGTTGTTCTCAGTCTCACGTTGGAGTCCTGCAGTAACCAGCTAGGGGCAAAATGGGACAAGCTGAATGTATGAGGTAGGAAGACAGTAAGAAGTATGAGTCGGGCCTGGGGTCATGCATGACAGCCAGCTCCTTCTCGGAGCTCCCTTCAGGTTTTTAAAAAATGCTCTTTGGACCATTCTTACAAACTTGAGAGATTTAGAAGAAAAGTGTTATCATGACACTTAACAACTTAGGAAGTACTTGCAGCTCCATCATGGCTTGTACATCCACATCTTAATGAGAGGTTTTTTAACCTTTCTTTGAATACTCTCCTCCATTCCTTTTTGGTTTATTAAAAACACTTTTCTTGAGCACAATGTATATACCTAAGGCACAGGGTTACATCTCCTCTAAAACCTAATTCTGAGCACAGAGTAGGAGAGCTTTTAAACCATTAAACACACTCCTCAGTCACTTTTAAGGTGCTGGGCAGGGCTTTCAGCTGACTTGTACAAGACATCACAGCTTTGCTAAAACACCCACTTCCCTCAAGGCCAGGCTTTTTCTGCTCCTGAGCTGGGATGGGAGGACAAGCTGAAACTTGTAGAAAACAAACTTTTACCTGACTGGGGGGAATAAAAGTGCTCACCTAGAGGCAGAGCCATGGACTAAACAGGGAGTCCTGTCAGCCTGTAGAGTTAACAGAACAGCATTCTTGGCTTCTCACCCTGAACTTTAGTTGTCTGGACTGAAGACCAGCATCACAGAACAAGGCAAAGAAAAATGAGAAGAAAGGGAAGGGAGTTGAGGGTTCTTAGCTCAGTGGAGAACATGGTCTTCCATTAACAAAATAAGAGATGAGCCAGAAGTCCTCAGAACAATTCTAGCAGTTGTCAGAAGCCTCCCTCATGCTCTCGAAAGCGTCACTTTCCATTCTTTCCACCGCAGGAGAACAGAGATGGGTACAGTTCCTTCCCATGAAGAAAGGACTGTGATCATCCTGATGCTTCTTCTCTCACCGCCCACGCTTGGCCACAAGCCCGCAGCACCAGGTTCAACCCCTCAAGTCCCTCATCTGAAACAAGGGGACTACAGTAGTACCCACGCATCACCATGGTACTGCAAGCATTCCCTGAGATGCTGTGTGAAAAGCACATAACAGTGCAAGGCGCAGAATATGTACTCAGTGCTGTTAGATTCAAGTTTTACTTTTAGTAAAGCAGACTAGTTTACCACAAACACAACCCTGCACTCATAGCCCCGCTCACCTGGGCAAGCCCCCAAGGTCGATCTCACTGCAGATGTAGGGACCTGGACGCAGAATCACCCACAGCCCAATCTCTGCAGCCATCAGGACAAAGGCCCTAGGGAGGTCAATGTCAGCAACTCTCAGGACATTCCGAGCAAAGGGTGGGGACGAGCCAAGCACGTATTGCCGGGTGGCAGAGCTGCCTGGCCCTCTACCTGCCTGCCTTCCTCTCTCAACCAGAGACTGGGGTGAGTAAAGGGGAGGCCGAGCCCCCACCCCCAGCAGAGCAGGGAATCCTACACCAGGTCATAGGCCAGAGGCCCTGGGAGCTGGGTTCTCACTGGCTCCCGGGTTAGGACAGTCTGCATAACCCCACTGGGGTCATAAGGAGGAAGGGCATCAGACAGGGTACAGGACAGGAGCCCTAACAGTGAACCTGACCCCAATGGCCTTGCTACCCTCGAGGGGCAATCCCTGTCCCAGACTAGGTGGGTGGACCCCACTGCAGAGCAGGGCTGACACTGGGGATCAGGCACCTCTGGGCTACAGTGACGGGGCCTGGGCTAGGTGGAGACAGGCCCAGACACCTGGGAGTAACAGATTCATGGCTGGAGAGCATCCGGGTCCTGGGTGGAGAGCCTGTCACAGTGTCCTGAGAACAAGGCTCCGGATCCCTCCCTCCACCCCCCACCCCCCATCTCCCTCTGGTTCTCCAAGCAAAGCCAAGATGCCACTACAGTCCCTAATCAATCCCAGCCAGCCCCCTTCCTGCCTCCCTAGCCCTGGCCAGGTCACAGAAGCAGCAACAGCACATACTCCAGGTCCAGGTTCTCAGAAAAGTCAAATGCGCCTCTTTGTGGCTCATGGAGGTTCCAGGGAACGTAGCTATAATAGGAAAGAGAGACATACAATAAACATCTTCTCATTTCTTTCCTATAGATTCCTAGGTGAGCCCCAAACCCACACCAAAACCTGGGATAGCTCTAGTTGGAATAACTGAAGTTTCCAATGATGATTAAATCTTTATTACATGAACAATGATTATTTTCAATAGTTCCTTCTCTGTTACTCAGTTGTAGTCCAAGCTGCCAATAATCCTGATTATAGATTCCTTCAATTTATAGATAAATTACCCCCTTCACCACCCTATTCTTTGTAATATCCATTAAAAATATAAAGAAAAGGAAAAAACACAAATATCTACATATGCTCAATAAAGTATTACTAAGAATTAAGCAGAATAAGAACAGAGGAGGAGTTTCTACTAGGATAACACAAATAAAGAAAGGTGCCATCATTTGACCTAGCAAGAAGGATGCTGCCAGGGACCTCTCCCATAAGGCTGAGTTTGGAGGGCCAAAGGGACATGTGCGAAATTTTATTAGGTGCTATTTTTATTAGATGACTATATTTCGTGTGTATTACCAACAAAGTTTTTGAGTATTGTGCCCAACTTCATGTTTTTTATGAGCTTTAGAGTTCTTGTTACACAATTTTGCAGTGTAGAGATTTTTAAGAATGCATGTGTTGCATTGTGGCAGAACTGACTGTATTTAAAGATCTTTTGTTGTGAGGAGGAATGAAAAGTTGGTTTGCTAAAGACTTTAAATATGCAGAGTAAAGTTTATAGCCAAACATTGACAGAATAGAATGAAAAAATCTTGCTAAATGATGCTTACAAGTGACTTACTTTAAAGAAAATTGATGAAAAAAGTCAGAAACAAAAAGGTGAGAAAAAATATAGATAAGGCAAAATTAATCTAGCATCTTAAATAGCAGCAAAATGGATTTTAAGGCAAAAAAAAAAACCCTTCACAAATAGATGCCAAGAGAGGCATCAAATAATAATAAAAGGAATAATTCATCAAGAAGATATAATAATCATGGCCTTCCATGATCTTAATATCATAGCTTTAAGTAAAGAAGAAGTTCAATGAATCAGAGAGGAAATGGATAAATCCACAGTCATAGTAGGAAGATTTAAAATATTTCTCTAAGAAACAAAGATAATAACTTTTAAACAATTGTAAGGATATAGATTTGAACAATACAATTAAAAGGCTGTATCTAATAAATACATAGAGAATTCAGTAGCCAACAGATGGAGTGTATATATTCTTAAAATATACAGGAACAGTTGTAAAATACAAAATAAATCTCAACAAATTTCAAAACTCTTCTTCACACAGTCCATGACCTCAGACAAATGCAACTAAATTAGAAAATTGCACTTTAAAATAGTAAAAAGTAAAATAAATAAATAAATGAAACAGAAAGCTATTCCCAAATAGCTGAAATGTTTGAGACCAAGTGACTTTCAAAGTACTATATGGCAAAATTTGTGGGGTATAGAACCAAAGCAATACTTCAAGATAAACTCATAGCCTTGAATAAATATATTAGAGAACATAAAATCCTGGAAATAAAATGAGCTAAATATTTAACTTGGAAGATAAGAAGAGAAGAAGGAGGGGGAAGGGAGGAAGAAAAAGATAATAAATCAAATAAAGTAGAGGAAAGAAACTTATACGTGACTCAGAAATTGTCATATAAAAAACAAAAAGGTATAGAGAATATTAATAAAACTACAAGCTAATTCATTAAAAAGACTAAAAATTTAGACAAGATTTAGTAGGGGGGGAAAAAAGAGGAAAAAAGCTCCAATTCACAAAATGATATATAATTTCCAAGAAAGGAAGGAGAATTTTTTTAAGTTTCAAAAAGGAAAAAAGGTCTATGGAATAAAAATAAGATATACTCTAGAAGAAATAAAAAACATGAGTTAAACAATAACTATTTAAGAAAGTTATATTGTGCCCAAAATCTTCACTGGCAAAAGATAGTAGCCACAAAGTTGTACAGGTGAATTGTAGGAAACATTCGTGGTAAAAATTCTTTTGCAAAATATTTGCAGTGAATATAAAAAAGAGATATAGTCACTTGGTTAGTTTATTATAAGATTAATATCAAAACTAGACAAGACACTAACATAAATAAAATTTTAAATCAATTTGGTTAGATACGTATCTCTAATAAAACACTAGCAAATCAAGTCTAGCAATCTGTGTGTGTGCGCATGTACATATGCATGTCTCATAACCAAACAGAATGTATCTCAAAGCTGTGGATTACTTGAATATCAGAAAAATTGTCTATGTAATATACTGCTTTAAGAGAAAAGAAAAACCATATAATCTCAGAAAAGCCTCTCAGTAAAATTTAAAAATTATTTGTGATTAAATTATTTGCTTATTATATGAGCCAATTATCAGTTTACTGCCCCTCAGCTTCAAATTCACCCTTTGGAATCAGCTCTGCAATAATGGATGGTGCTGGTTAAGCATTTTGCCCTATACAGTGAGTACGATGTTTATTTCTGCCACAACAGGGCGATGGAGGGGCATTCAAAAAGGGAGGGGCTTCTCTTGATTGAGATGCAGTTTTTGTATTTCTGTAGTCTTGTTGGTCAGTGTTATAGGTGTGTGAGGACACCCGATGGTTCTCTCTTTTTAAAAAAAATTCCATACATTATAAGTATAATCCATAACAACCAATGTAGAATTAACCCAGAAAGGCAACAAGTATTTTGGAATTAACATAATTAGCATAGTTGAAGATGTAAAACATTACATTACATGCTCCATAGTTTTTGCTGCCACTCCTCTGCTTTTCCTCTTTCTATATTGTAAGTCTGAGATTCTCAGGAATTCCTTTACTTTTTCCTGATATTAATAACATCCACAGCCTGACCATGAAAACAACAGACCTTTTTAATTGCTGGTTACAAACATCTCATCAAATATATATATATATATATTCTGCAACATAAAATCAGAATATATATATATATTCTGCAACATAAAATCATAAAATACGCTGAAAGGGCACTTAGATTTTACAACTCTTTACAATAAGGGTTATAAAGTGTTGTGAACATGATCCTCAATCTCTAAGCAAAGTACACAATTATGAAAGGTGCTGAATTGTTTAGCAGCTGGGCCCTGGAGCCTGACCCAATTCAAAGCGTAACTCCACTATTAATGTGTGACTCTGGGAAAGTGTCTTAACTTCTCTTTGCCTGAGTTTTCTCAATGGTGATAACACTACTTACCACATAGAATTGTTATATGGATGAAGTGAATTAATATTTTCCAGGGCTTAGAACATGCATGGCTGTGTATAAATACTATATATGTGCTAATTGAATAAAATCAGTAGTCTTACTTTATAATGGTAGATATATTTCAATTAGCACCCGTGTTCTGACAATGGCAGGATCATTACACTAAGGGTGGGCTTCCCTGCCTTTCCTCAGCCTTCAGGAACACCTTTCCCATGACATTAACCACACATCCTTTTGTATGCAGCTGCCACATTATAGCCTTCCACAGAATTTTTCCTTCAGGCACCCTTCAAGCCACCTTTATTGACTCCCACTTTTTTGAGTTTCAAGACTTTTTGGAAATAGGTCTCTCATGAAGGGAACTCCACTGTTCCTAATTCAAATATAATTTTTGCTTTGGGTACGGTTTTTATTTGGTCATCTGTGCATAGGCAGGAGTCTTTGCTCTGTGTGTGACTTGGGTGTCATCCTTACAGTTGTGTGGTCATATCTTAAGGAGATGCTAGGAAAGACGCTCATCCTGAGCAAGCTAAGCCCTCTATGCTTCCATTTCTTCTCCTGCACAATGGGAATTATACTGTCCATCTCACAGGACAGTTATGAGGATTGAGCAGTTTTGTGAAAAATACTTAGAAAATGCCTAGTCATCAGTAAACCCTAACTACACGTTACCTTTTGTTACTATATGTGTAATCATATTAACTATCACACTAAATTTATCATGTTAAATTTATCTTCATATTCTTCTGTTGAACTAGACTGGGTATTTCTTCTTGCCACCTTAATTGAGTACATGTATATGCCAGGCATTGTGATAAGCATTTTCGATAGAAATAAGATAAAGTTTTTATCTCATTTAATCATCAACACAACATTACAAGGCCAAGCTGGAACTGAAGACTAGGTCTGTCCGACTGTTAAGCTACACCACTAAACTTCACTTTAGTGATACTAGTGTTTCCTTACATGTTCATATTGATATTATTCACATTGATATCATTCCTCTACATATTCATCTCCATATACATAAATAAGAATTGTTTTAAATACACCATGTGTTCATCTATAAGTATACTTTAAGTATAGGTCATTAAACTGAGTGCTCCTAAGCAGCCCAATGACTCTTCCACTAGAGAGATTCTTGAGGAAATCACTAACTCTTTTAATATTTCTCCCATTAAAACTTACCCAAGGCTTTCACTACAGTAAACTAAGTATGACATGTTAGTGATCCTTAAGCATAAAAAGGACATGCTGGACATGACTATTCAGAGGGTAAATCTTCAGGTCAGGGTCCCAAAACCAGCTCTGAGCCTGGGTGCAAATGTTATGAGCCTTCAGAGGCAGCAAGGTCACAGAGGGCTGAGGGCAGCACTTACGTGGTGACAGTGTTGAAGCCACAGGCCTTTAGCTTCAAGAGGCGGTCCCTCCAGTACTCCCTGGGTACCCGGAAATAGTGAATGGAGCCCCCAAAGATCCGGAACTTGTGCCCTCCTAGCGTGAAGTATGGGGTACTCTCAGCTCTGCTTTCAGCCTGAAGTCCCACAGATCTGTTCTTCAGCTCAAAAGGGGTCAGATGAGACCAATTAAACCTGTTGAAAGAGAGAGACTGAGAGGGAGGGAGAGAGGGGGAGGGAGAAAGGGGAGAAAGAGAGGGAGGGAGGGAGGGAGGGAGGGAGGGAGAGAGAGAGAGAGAGAGAGAGAGAGAGAGAGAGAGAGAGAGAGAGAGAGAGAGCGCGACTGAGAGACACTACCAAGGCCTAGTGGACAAAGAAGTTCTTGTTAGCAGGACATGTCCTGTGATTGCTTCCCAAGAAAAGACAGAAAGCTCCCCACTCTCCCCACTCTGGCCAACCTGTTCTGGGTCAGCTGCGGCTTCACTTCTCCGGATATAAGATGCTCTTTAGATTTTTTCAGAGTGAAACCTGAGAAGATAAATGGCAGGAAAAAGATGCACACGATTCCTTTCCAGGAAAGACACCAGCTGAAAAAAGAAAGAAATAACAATAAGGGGGAGGCATTGGCCTCATCAATCTATAAGGACCAGAAAGCTGCCCTAGAGGCAGGTTAAAGGCAAGAGGCACAGGTAAGGAAGGGGCTCAGTGACAGATGGGAGCACTTCGTCCACCACGTTCAGGAAGGACGCGATGTCCGGCAACCCGAGCACCTTGTCAGCATCCACACCCTGATTTTCTTCTGTCTGGAGCAATGGAAAGACCCTCCACAGGACGGGCATAACTAAGATATGGGTAGATGGAGGAGAGAAAGACTTATAAGGGGAGCTGATAAGAAGAGTTTCTGGCAGATTTGAGGGTCCAGGAGGGCGTCCCCAGACCAAAGGGGCCTTTGCTCCATGTATGGAGAGGATGGGCAGTGACTGTCACCTGTAGCACGACGGAAAACCCATCCTCGCAAGGCCGGGGCGCGCCGAGGTCCCACGCTACTCCCGCCGCCTCCCTGCAGCAGCGCGAACCCTCTGGTCTCAGGTCCGGGGCGCTCCTGTAGCCGGAGACCTACGTGCGGCCGCCGCAGCCCAGCGCGGAGTCCGGAGGCCTGCCGGGCAGTATCCAGTAGCAAGTCTGAGGCTCTGGGCGGCGAGAAGAGCAGAGCGCCAAATCGCCTGCGTGCAGAAGACTTTCAGCCAGAAAGTAAGGAGGAAGCCTCCCTGATCTTTAGTTTCTTTAAACTGTGTGCCATCAGCCAATTGGGAGAGAAAGGCGGAGGTGAGTTGAAGGAAAGGAGGATAACTCAGCCCACGCCTTGTACCAGAGAGCAGATAAGTTTTGACTTGGCGGGTTCAGCAACTTTAGCAAGGACCTTTTCGTTCCAGTCAGCGCTTTAGGCTAACGGATGGGTGGTGCGCACAGTGAAATAGTTTCAATACGACGAATAAGTGCTGAAATGCAGATTCCACAGAGTGCAATGAACGTACAGGCAGGGGCACAGGCTACTCTGGAGGAGTATAGTTTTCTCAAACTGATTCTTAGTAAATCATTGAGAATTATCAGAGCAAAGAAAAGTGTGAATGCTCTTCCTATCGGTGGGATAGCTTCCAGGATTTACATAGTATGTGCAGGAACTACAGTTTAGAATTTTTTGGTTAACAAGTAGCAGGAGATGCAGCTGGAGAGATCAGAACGGGACGAAGCAGGTCAGGGAGGACTGTAGACGCAATGCTAATAAGCAGCTCAGTCTCTTGACAGAGATTTCAAGCAGAAACTAAGTCAGAATTTATCTTTATGGAGATTACTTGGCTGCAAGGTGGAGGCTAGATGGGAAATAGATAAGTCATTTCAACAGACTTGGTGATGCAAGGATGAGGTCTTGAGTTGTTCTGGTAAGAAAGAAGAGGGTCTTGAGTTGTTCTGGTAAGCAAGAAGAGGGAATGGACTCAAGAAAAAATGTTGAGGTAAAATTGGTAGCTCTTGAAAGTTGATTGGTTGAGATAGGTGTTACAGAGAGGAGTCTAGGCTGACCATCGTGTTTCAGCCTTAAACAAGTTGGGTAGATGGTGATGACATTTATTGAGATCAAAAACATAGGAAGTAATAGAAGTTCCAACAGAGAGAGAAGAGTGAACCAGTTTTGGACATGCTGGATTTGAAGCTTCTGTAATGTAGAGAACTCTTCTGATCTTTTCTCTTTGAAACCTTTGTTTCTACTCTCCCATTTGAAAGTACAAAGCCTGTGATATTGGGCCAAAATCAGGACTATATTTTTCAGAGAATAGTGTGTGTGTGTGTGTTTTCTATTATCTCACTCATTACAGGTATACTTTCCTCTTTAAAATCTCAGCTCCCTGAAAAATTTATAGATTATCCTTTTTTTTCTCATTCTTAATTGGAAAGCAATGGACTCTTGAGACTCTCTACATCTTAACACAGAAGCATAATATTTAACTTCTTCGAATATACCATGTTTAATAAATTTGAATTTGCAGCCACAAAACTTTATCTTTCAATGTAAAAATTTTAAAACTATTCTAGGGTATGTGCCTTTTCATATAAAGTTTAGAATAAGCTTGTCTATTTCTATAAAAAGCCATGCTAAAATTTTGTTAAGAATCGCCTTAGACCTATAGATCCATTTGGGGAGAATTGACATCTCTACTATGTTGTCTTCAAATCTATAAACATGTTATGTCTCTTCATTTATTTAGGTCTTCTTTCACTTTTTTTTATCAGAATTTTGTGATTTTTTTAACATAAGATCTTATGCATGTTTTGTTAGATTTATACCTCAATATATCATTTTCTTTTCAGCAATTTTCAATGGTATTATATTTTTAAGTTCAATTTCAGCATGTTCATTGTTAGCATGTTGAAATGCAATTGGGTTTCTTGTATTGATTTTTAATCTGTGAACTTGGTACACTGACATTAATTTTAAGCAATTATGTCATCTGCAAATACATTTTTCTTTCCTTCCAATTTCTGTCTTTTATTTTTTAAAAAACCTTATTGTGGTAACTAGAATTTCCAGTACTATGTTAAGAGTGGTGAGACCTGACATCCTTACCTTATTCCCAGTCTTAGGTGGAAAACATTCAGTCTTTAAACATTAAATATAATGCTAGCTGTGGAGATTGTGCATATGTTGTTTACTAAGTTGAAGTAATTCTCTTCTATTACTAATTACCTGAGGGTTTTTTTTTTATTATGAACAGTGTTGGATTTTTGTCAAGTACTTAAAGCCTCTTCATTTGCTATAACATTACTATCCTACTTCTCTTCCTGAAAGATGCTTTGCCAAATATAGAATTTGCTGTTGTGTTATATTGTAATTTAATGAGAAATATATATGTA